GTGCGTGCGTGCGTGCGTGTGCGCGTGTGTGTGTGCGTGTGTGCGTGTGTTGGGGTGCGAAAGAACAAGATGGCTGTCCAGAGACGAGAAAACTTTTCTCGCTCTCATCTTTTTCACGCAAACACGATGATTTGTCATCTTCTGTAGTGTTTGTAGAAGAAAGCAACAAAGAAACAACAACTTAAAGCTATCCAAGGCATGTTTTTTTGCGTGTTTATTTTTTGGGGTGCGACGTGAGCCATTTTAGAGGCGAAGCTAGTCGGAAGGATTTTGGGGCAACGACGTCGAGTTAGGTAGGAGCCCGTCAAGAAAGAAGTCACTTTTTATCCTTTACAACTTTATTAATTACCTCCCGTTTCGCCTTGTAACATTTGTGTCTTTTTGTAAGTTTTCTTTTGAGGGGAGGTGTGATATTCCAACTGTTAAACTCATCCGTGACGTATGATCGTTTGGATTAAAAAAGTAGTCCGAGTACCATGAGCTCATCATCGCGGATAAAACCCCAGCACACCGCCCGCTCGCCGCACTCCTCCGAGGCGAGCGAGGGCATCGAAATGGAGAACATCCAGCACCAGCACCAGCGTCAGGATTCGGCGATCGGAGGAATCGTCGCCGGTACCCCGTCGCCGCCATCCAGACAAGCCTGGAGCCGAGACAACCCGGGTTTCGAGGCCGGTGACGAGATCATGGCAGCGGACTGGCCTCCAGCCAGCCCCGGGAGGAGGTCGGCGTCCACGGCCTCCAGCAACAGCAGTTGCAGCAGCGCTCTGGGCAGCTACAACGCCGGCGGCGGAGGAGGCGGCGGCCCCCACATCCACGGTGGAGGAGCCTACCCAAGCCCGAGTGGGGACGAGGGGCAGCGGGGCAGGCGTGAGCACAGCAGCTGCATGAAGCAGATACTCCAAAAAATTAGAAGTAAGACGCTCTTCTTTCTCTTGACACCCCATTTCCATCCTAAAATCTAGAGTTAGGTGAAATGATTTATCCGTTTATCGAAAAGGCCATTTGTTCATCGAAAAAAATAATAGCAAACCCAACACTTCCGAGAGGGACCACGAAAAAAACTATACTTTCTCTCCTTGGTTGCAGTTCTGTGGGGTACGGAGTTGATGGAGGACAACAACAACAGTCGGGAACGTTACTTGTGGAATGTTTTGAGAGAGATGCTCACTTATGTGGCCTTCCTCATCACCGTTTGCATCCGTAAGTAATTGACTGAAATTTGAAATTTCACCGGTGACCTAGAAAACTGAACAAAAATCACCATTAATGAGTTGAGCAGACGGAATAACAGGGCGCAGGGATTAAATTACGCGACGGGCCAGAAAATTAAGAGCATATGGTTCTCAAGTGTGCCGAATGGTCACGGTTACATTTTGCTCTTTTCTTTTTGCTGCTTCAGTAAAAAAAAAAAAAAAACTGCCAGTTTGTGGTTAAGGGCGGTTCAGGAAAAAGTTTCCTGGCACATTATACGATGCAGAGCTGGAGAAGCTGCTCTTTTTAATATTGACTTGTATTGTTGCAGAGCCCAGTGAAATGGGATATTGACCTAACTGCGTAAGCAGTCACACTCTACCGTGGAGTCTCACAATCAGATACCATTGTGTAACAAAAATGAACTGCGGCAATTGCTGTAAACACAGTAGGGCAGGAGAAATTAGAGTGGGGCCTTAAACTTCACACCCCTGTCAAGGCGTTATGGCTGTCCCGACTATATTACAGCTTTGATTTTCCACCTGAAAATTGACAGGTTGAATTTGCGCCGCTAATACTTGAGGTGAAGGGCCGCTGTGCTCCCTCATTTAAAAAAAAAAAAAAAGGATAGTCTGGAGCCCTGACTGTTGTGTACTGGATATTTCTGTAAAAGAACCATGCAACGTATATATTTGTGTGTGTGCTTGTGTGTGCGTGTGCGCGTATGCGTGTGTGTGAAATGGTGTCCAGTGACGTACGGGATGGTGAGCACCAACATGTATTACTACACCAAAGTCATGTCGCAGCTTTTCTTGGATACACCCATTTCCCCTGGAGAGGCAGCCACATTTAGGAGCCTTTCAACTATGGAGGACTTCTGGAAGGTATATCGCAGAATGCTGTCATCACAACAGTACCACAAACCGCTATTAGCACAGTTGGGCAAAGTATGGCCCGAGGACCTGGTCTGTTTTTTTTTTTTTTTTTTTTAAACATCATTATTAATTTATCTCACTGCATCATTGGTTGACGACTCATTTGGGGTAACTGCGGTCATCATGTCTCCTCGTCCTTCTAGTTCACAGAGGGGCCTTTCCTCAACGGAATGTACTGGGAAGTGTGGTACAACAACAATAGCCTGCCCGAGAACCACACTCTCATCTTCTACGAGAACCTCCTGCTCGGGGTGCCGCGCCTCCGGCAGGTCAAGGTCCGCAACGAGTCGTGCAGCGTGCACGAGGATCTACGCGACCAAGTCCGCGACTGCTACGACGCCTACTCGCGAGCCAATGAGGACACCGCCCCCTTCGGGCCCGGGAACGGGACTGCGTGGACGTACGTGACGGAGGCCGGCGCCAACGGGAGCAGCCACTGGGGTCGCGTGTCCAAATATGGCGGCGGGGGATACTACCAAGACCTGTCCCGGACAAGGGAGGAGTCGGCGGTCCGGCTGCGCTTCCTCAAAGACCGCCTGTGGCTCGATCGAGGCACCCGAGCCGTTTTCCTTGACTTTGCGGTCTACAACGGTAACATCAACCTCTTCTGTATTGTCAGGTGAGAATTGTCTGCATGAAGGCACACTTTTATTACATTTGTATAAGGGAACCCCTGTGTATTTGTAGTTTGGCATTTTCGCATAATCTTGAATTTGCAGATTTTTTTTGGGGGGAGATATCCTCTGTTATTGACTTAAAAACTCCCCAAGGTGGCACCAAAAGCTGGACGGTGGTGTCATGCAATAATTATTCAATAGAAGTGACACATCACGACTGTTTAAAGTCTTAGAATGTCCGGGAGGAGCTAAGTTTAGCCTGGGTTGTTAGTGGAAGTTCTGGAGAGTCTTTCTTACGTATTTGTTGTTCTTCCAAAGAAATCTCATCCGTAAGCAATGATTTTTCAGGGTAAATTTGCAAGATCAGTGTGAAACAATATTGAAAGACAAAGCAGCCATTTTTTTAGGGAAGGTGATATGAGAAAAGAGGCATGTTTTATTTTTTTATTGTATTTATTTATATTTATGAGCAAAGGATTGTAGTCATATGACTAAAGATGACGTTTAAACATACACTGTGTAGAATCGAGTGCCACATAGTGGTTAACGAATAGAATGCAATGACCTAAACTCGGAAGGGTGCATTTAGAGAGACCGCACTGTGCAAGCCGCCCACCAATTTCTTCAGAAGAGGCGCAAGCAAAATGTCATCCCAAACGACATCTACTTTTCTTTCAAGTGACAGAGGAAATTTGTCCCACATGCTATAGTAACGATTTGGAGGAACAATGTCCGACTTTAGTTCATTGTGGGGTCTGCTAACTTTAACCCTGCCCCTCATAACTACAACTATAATTATATATTTCCCGAGCAGCATACCTGATGGTGTCCAAACATTGTCAGGTTGTTGGTGGAGTTCCCAGCGACTGGCGGCGTGGTGACATCCTGGCAGTTCCAGACGGTGCGTCTGATCCGATATGTATCCAGCTGGGACTACTTTGTGGGCCTGTGCGAGGTCATCTTCTGCCTCTTCATTCTCTACTACGTGGTGGAGGAGGTGCTGGAGATCCGCATCCACCGCCTGCATTACTTCCGGAACCTGTGGAACTGTCTGGACGTCTTGATCGTCACTGTACGTATCTGCTCATGCTATCGCGACTATTCCTCAAATAGCGGCTGTCTTTTTTTTTTTTTTTTTTAACCCCCCCCCCCCCCCCCCCCCCCCCAATTGGTGAACAATTGGTGCATGGACCACTTAAGACCAATACATGTCTCTCTTTTTGGGTGAAAAAATCATGTTGTAAAAGTCAATTCATAGACACATTTTTCACTCTGTTGCTAACCAAAACAGCAGCACTCAAACCGTCTCTCAGTTGAATCTGATCACTGGTACCTCCCACTAGATGGCTGCGATTACTCATTTTTAAGTCTGTCGCGAACCAAAACAGCAGCACAAATTTCTTGTACGATGACGATACCAACCGCCATGCGTCACTATTTACACTAAGACCCTTCTTGAAGAAATAGCAAGTGGTACCACAAATTTTCACTTTGGCAGACCGATTTGTGCCATGCCGATTCACGCCGCGCGCCGGTCAAGAAAATAGAGCTGTAACTTTTTTTTTTTCCAAATAGTTGCTCCCAGTTTATTGCCAGGTGTGCTGTCCGCTGAAACAACGGCCTCACCCCAATCCAACCCAATCTATGATTTACCACAATGCAACGTATTGCTTCGTTCCTTTGTAACATTCCTTTTTCTTGAGTTCTAAACTTCACTTTCATGCCACACAAATGCTAATATACGATGTCAAGAAACACAGCCGTTGATAGATGTTCCGATATTCTGTGTTCATCACAAGGCTGTTGTGAATCGTCTGTTTGTGGCCTCCTTTTTTGTAGCTGAGTGTGGCGGCCATCATCATGAATATAACAAGAACAGCCACGGTCAGCCACCTGCTCAAGACCCTGCTGGAGAACCACACCACTCACCCCACGTTCGAACCTCTGGCCAACCTGCAGCTTCAGTTCAACAACGTGGTGGCGGTCATCGTCTTCTTTTCCTGGGTTAAGGTATGTATGCCGACTCCAGTATTTTAAATGAAAAGCAATTAGCTTATTACTACTTCCACCAAGGACGTTTTTTTTTTCCTGGGTACGGTTTATTAAAGATGTTTTATGTCTTGTTGGACAAGATCTTTTTTTTTAAATGAGTAAAGAAGTAATAGGAGAAGAAAAACATTTTACAGTAGAACTCCTCTACAACAAAATCATGTTTGCACCCAGATATTTTTCACAACAGGGGACTTTTCACTCGAGCAAATTTGATCTTAGACGTAAACACAAACACACACAAAAAACATCTAAGTGATCTCTTTATTTAGGTTTCGTTGTAGAGGAGTTTCACTGTACAAGGGAAAAAAAGTCTGAGCTGGAAAAAAAAAAAGAAAAGTTGTAGGTTTATGACAACAAAGATGGAATAGTTCAGAGAATGTAGTTGTCATTGTAATCCCTTCCCACAGCTCTTCAAGTTTATCAACTTCAACAAGACCATGAGTCAGCTGACGGGCACCATGTCTCGCTGTGCCAAGGACCTGGTTGGTTTTGCCATCATGTTCTTCATCATCTTCCTGGCGTACGCCCAGCTGGCCTACCTGCTCTTTGGAACTCAAGTCGACGACTTCAGCACCTTCCAGGCCAGCATGTAAGATGAGCAATACTTTCAAGAATGCGCACTATCCGCCGTCATTCATTCGAGTGCTTCTGCGCCACTCATCGGCTGAACTTTGGAAATCTTCATTCGTACGCTGTTGCTAACTAGAACAGCAGAACAGAAGCAATAATTACCCCAATTATTACATCTGACACTACTCCGTGTTGCTCGGTCGCTGTATTGTCTTTCAAGTAATTACATTAAGCGATGTAATAATAATAAATAAATAATACCGTAGTTGATGCCATACCTTAGTTGAACAAATAAATACCTTACCTCAGATAGACCCGCCCCCCACTCGCCTCACGAAAGGTAACAGGTGGCATCAATTGCTCGCTGCAAGTTTATATTTGAACTCTTTTGCTAACCAAAACAGCGACATCCCCCAGCAATGACAACATTTACTCTGACATCTGACACCACCACGTGCCCGCAAGAATTTTCCCCAAATAGTGGCCTCTGCATTATTACATGCCGCATCTGAATGAATTCTCAAGTGTTTATTCGAAACATTTCCTCAAATACGCCAATTTTACCCCTCAGAAAAACAAAATAAAGAAGCAGCACTGAGGCAAAAAATGAGCTAGCTAGTAAAAACAAACAAAAAAAACCTCAATATTAAAAGCTGGGTGTGTCATTGATGGAAAAAAAAGCCTCACCTCAAATAAACACATTTTCCCCCTGAAGAAAAATAATCAACATTTGGCCGCAATTACCCATTTCAACCCTGTTGCTCACCAAAACAGCTGCACCTTTGTAATAAATGTACATCCATATATTTAAATAACATGTATTTAATTAAAATCTTGCCCCTTTTGTGCAGTTTTACTCAATTCCGCATCATCCTGGGAGACTTTGAGTTCTCCGAGATCGAGGAGGCCAACCCGGTTCTGGGGCCCGTCTACTTCACCACCTTCGTCTTCTTCATCTTCTTCATCCTCATGGTGAGCGCGCACTCGCGCAACCCACGCAAGCATCTGCCAAATGCTCTCCGCTGACGCATCGTCCCCGTCCGTCCTCCGCCACAGAACATGTTCTTGGCCATCATCAATGACACGTACTCCGAGGTGAAGGCGGACATGTCTCAGCAGAGGTGTGACATGGAGATGAGCGACCTCATCAAGAAGGTAAAGAGGCGCCATCCGCTTTTTTATAGCCCGCATCAAGTTAAAGGAGCGTCCAATTTAAAAAGCGCTCCCGTCAAGGGTTGCAACAAAGCCTTGATGAAGCTCAGGCTGAAGAAGACGGCGGTGGACGACATCTCGGACGGTCTGCGTCGGGCCGGAGGCAAGCTCACCTTGGATGAACTCAGGCAGCATTTAAAGGGGTGAGTTTGTGACCTCCGTAACAAGACAAAAGACAGAAAAATAATTTCAAATTATGAGGAAAAAGTTGTTCAATTCTGATCAATTTAATTTTATTTGAAGCAAAATGTCGTGCAATTGTCGAAGAAACCACAAGATGGCGGTAAACGACTACTTTTGTCTATGCTAAATTCCTTCAATCACTTAGTTCCTAAGATGCTACAAAATATTCTTAACTTGTTTTGGCTTGAGTACAAAACCAGCCAATAGGTTTGCCGGAATTTCTTTTCATTTTTGTGTCTGATATGAATTTGTTGTCGGTGCTGCCATGGCACAGGAAGGGCCACACGGATGCCGAGATCCAGGCCATCTTTGCCAAGTATGACCACGACGGTGATCAGGAGCTGACGGAACACGACCACCAGCAGATGAGAGACGACCTGGAGAAGGAACGAGTTCGTATAAAGATCATCCGCCATCCGTCATTTCAGGGTCTCGTGTCATCAAAATGGAGGCCACGCGTGAAGTGTTGTGAACCCCCAAAACAAAATGGCGGACCACGACATCAATGTTTTCTTAATTTCACATTCTGACTTTGTTCTCATGATTTGATGACTATTAATCTTAAAAGGATTCTTCTTGTACTATTATATTCTCATAATATTATGACTTCACCGAACACAAAAAAAAAATATCACAAAATTTCCATTTTAATTATACAGTACATCTTGTCAGGGTCCACTGGAAAAACAGCAATTAATTTTTTAGGTGTGCGGGGGTTCGGCATTTTAGACGAAACCATTCAGGTTACAAAACCTACGTAAATACATTTTTCTTGTAATCTTTCAAGGGAAAAAAGGATTATATTTAGTATTACAAATCAATATAATTTTTTTTATTCCAAGTAAAAAGGTTGCAATAATATGAAGAAAAATTATCTTTTTTTTTTTGTGAACTATTACTGAATATTACAGTATACTTTTATGTGAGCACAAATGTAATCTTACCAAAAATGGACACATTGCAAACAAGAGTTTTAACATAACAAAAAAAAAGTGTTCTAATATTGCAAGAAAAAAAATCTCAACTATGAATATGCATACTGAACAAAGTAAAATAAGAAATGTTTTATTTTTATTTATTTATTTATTGGGGGTTAAACCAGCAAATAGATGTCATTTCAAGATAATACCACATTTTGGATTAAAGTATTTGTGAGTTTTTTTTATGTTGACACAAAAAAACAGCAAACCTGTTGTTTTTTTTCACAGTTTCGATTAAAATTTAAAAAATGACACCAAATGTGTTTGCAGGAGGATTTGGATCTGGAGCGCAACTCCTTAACCCGAGCGTGCAGCGGGCGCAGCCTGCCGCCTCGCGGCCAGGACGACTCGGAGGAGGACGACGACGAGGACAGCGGGCACAGTTCGCGGCGCCGCGGCAGCAGCTCGGGTGGCGTCTCCTACGAGGAGTTCCAAGTGTACGCACAAAATTATCGAAGCCAACGGTGGGAAGGTTGCCGGTTGGCCGCCCGTGACGTCCGTGTTGTCGTTGGCAGGCTGGTGAGACGCGTGGACAGGATGGAGCACTCCATCGGCAGCATCGTGTCCAAGATCGACGCCGTCATCGTCAAGCTGGAGGCCATGGAGAGGGTCACCCTCAAAAGGAGGGACGTGTTGGGAAGGCTCTTCGAAGGAGCCATGGAGGTACGTCAAATCACAAAAACACTGTCGGGAAAATGAAGGATGAATGAGAGACCAGTATGAGGGACCACCGTGTTGAAAAATAAAAAAAAACATTATTTGACCAATTGATTTCACATTGTTACAAGAATAAAGACAGACTGACAGGTAAAGTGTGCTAACTCCATTTTGTCATATGCTAATACTAGTAGCAGGGCCCGGGCCGATTTGGAAATTTATGTCAAAATTGGAACAAAATCTTGATTTAGAGCAGTATTCACCTGAGAGATATGATTTTTTTTTCTCTATTATTCTCTGCACTCAATTTAAAAATGAGCACAATGGAGTTCACCACTTTCGTTGCTGTTTTGTGAGAACATCAGTGCAAAAGAAAAATCAAGTCATCGTAGTCAAAAGGGTGATGTTACCCCGAACAGTCAACCCTAACCCTCAACCCTAGCCCTAACTCTGACCCCTAAACCCTAGCCCCTTACCGTAGCCCTGAACCCTAGCCCCAGCCCTGAACCCTAGCCCATACCCCAAACTCTAACACTAACTCCTCACCCTAAACCCTAGCCCCTAACCTTGAACCCTCACCCTAGCCCCAAAACCCTAACCCTAAACCCTAACTCCTAGCCCCTAATCCTGAACCCTAACCCCAACTGCTAGCCCCTAACCTTGAATCCTAACCCTAACTCCTAATCCCAAACCCTAGCCCCGAACCCCGAACAGTCAACCTGAACTCCTAACCCTAACTCCTACCCCGAAACCCGAGGCCCTTACCGTAGCCCCTAAACCCCGAACCCTAACCCCTAACGCCTAGCCCCAAACCTCTCAATATAACAACATGTAACGATTTCTCTCTCGTACTGGTCACTGTATGTCGTCAGGAGGAGCGCGGCAGCGGTCGGGACGTCGACGCCCACAGCGAGCAGGAGCGGCTGGTGAGGGAGGAGCTGGAGCGCTGGGAGTCGGACGACGTCTCCTCGCTGGTGGGCCACCCCCACACCGGCGCAGCCACGCCGCGGCCCCGCCCCCGTTCCCCTTCCTCACTGTCCATCGACACCGCAGACGGCAGTGGTAGCGCTCAAGTGTAAAAAGCAAGGTAAACAAAAAAACCCACGAAGGGATTCCTTGGTTGCAAACCAAAATAAGAGCAAGTACAACAAGGTCAGAAGTCACCTCGCATGATTCATTGACAGTACAGAGCCGGTTCACCTTATGTCAAATCACAAAATTGATGAGAGACTACTATGAAGGGACCACCACGCTGAAAAAAAAATTCTCATCGCAATCCAACTTATCTTAACTCCCATGAAAAAAAAAATCTCATAAAATTCAGACTTTTGTTTTAATACTACAATTAAACATTTTTCATAGTACGACGAAAATCAATACTGTATCCTCGAATTTGTACGACCTTATTCTGTTCCTTTGTGTACTTTTATTCCATACTTTTCTTTCCTTTGCAGTGTGGCGTTCATGCGCCTTTGTAGCAAACTTCCTAAAATTTGTCTTTGCTGCATTTTTTTGCACACATTTCACATTCCGTTGTCACGTTTGAACACAAACCAAAAGAGGCACCGTTTTATTCATTTTGTTGATTTTAATTCACAGTATTTGCGTTAAGCGTCCATTTTGCATCGAAGCTTCAACTGAACTAGATTATTCTCAATGTAATGCGCGCGCACACACAATCTATATTGAAACAAACTTCAATTTGGAGTGCAAATATTGTTCATGGGAAACCCATGCGTTTATATTTTATCCTGTGCCTTAGTATTTTCTTATCTGCCTTTTTACAAAAAAATTGTCAAATAAAAGTACTATCAAAATTGTGGTTCTTGAGAGCTTTTTTTGGGGGGGGGGCATTTTTAACACACTTTTTTTTTTTTAAACACAAAATAGTAATAATTGTATTGTTCTTTCTTTCATATATACTGATCAATTTTAAAATATTTAAATCCAAAAACAAGCAAACTTTTAGATGGATTTTCTTGCATTGATATCAAATCTGCCCTTGTTTTTTTCCCCAAGCACAGCAGCATAATGACAAAAATAAAAATACTGTTCTATAACAAATGTAATATTCATGAATTACGTGTTGGGTTCAGCAATGGGTGGAATTTTTTTTTTTCCTGAACTGTCACATCTACAAATTCCAAAGCAAGGTAACATCCGTACTGCGCAAGCATTAGAGGTCAAACTTTAAAAACAAAAAAAATGAAAATATTTTTAAAAAAATCTGACGTGCTAGAAAAAAAAGTACACGTAATTTTAAATCAGCATCAAATATTTTTGGAAAGATTATTTTAAATAGACTTATAGACATCTTGGTTAATACATCATTATTGTGATTAATTATTAAACAAAAAAAAAAACAAAGCAATTTGTGGTTTCATGGCGACATTTATATGTGAATACAATCGTGCAAATTGTTTGAAACAAATCAAAATATCAAAAGAACTTTTCATTAACAGTTCCATTACAAATGGTTAACGCTGAGCTAACTTCAAGAAAAAAATCTACAGTAGTTACGGTAATCAGGCAGTAAAAATCGCATCTACTTTTAAAATGAGGTGAATATTTATAAATAATAGCTTTCAAAGGTAACATGAATAGCTGTGAGCGAAAAAAAATGTTTTTCTTCTTTTAAGTGAACTTCTTAATGTAGCGAAGTTTCAGGTAGGAAATGAACAGGAAGGCAACGAGCATGACGGCTAACGCCACGTGGTTCTCCCACAAGCCCCACGTGTTATACCGGATCCCCAGATAGTCCAGATACTGCTCCCCTGTACATCTGGAACACAACCACAAAAAAAAATTATTAAATAAAAAATGCTCATCTGTGATTGGCTTCTACCTCCGACTGCTCCTCCAGCAAACTGGAGACGACGGCGGAGTCGTTTTTCTACTCACGTCAGTCCGACGGCGGGCCCCGCGCTGTAGTTGCAGGCGGTCACGGCCGCGGACATGTTGGTGTTCTGGCAGAATTTTAACCCCACAAACTCGTTGATCTTCAGGGCCTGAGGGTCCAAAAGTTTAAGAGTCAAAAGGGGGAAGTTTGTTCCATGAAGCTGGACTTACCGCGAGGCCGTAGCGAGGAATACTCAAGTACTTGAGCCAGGCCAGCCAGTGCATGATGCTTGGAAGGTTCACCAGAAGACCCGAGAAGATCTACAAAAACATACACGTCCAGCATGGGATACTACCACAATAAAGTCGGACTGCGACAACAAAATTGGGGGAATAAATGTAAAAAAAAAATTACATTTACTAATTGTAAAATTCAATCTTTATCCAATTTAATTTTTTGTTAAATGTTGTTTTCTGGTATTAAAACTTCACTCTTAAAAATGACACTTTTTCCCTTGTAAAATTCCGATTTATCACAACTCTTTCTTCTACGCTATCACTTTTTTCCTCAAATCACACAATTGTTCTCATGATATTCTAACTTTAATTTTGTTAACTAAAACTTCTTTGCCTCGGAAAATGTTGTCACCAACAATTACATTCCCAATAGTTTCACGGGCGACCCATCGTGACTTAACACAATCACCATATCACAAAGTCGGCCTTTCGCAGACAATTACGATACGTTCACTCACCATCATGAAAACGAAAGTGATGGTCATGAAGATGTTGGCGAGCGCCACCACCGTCTGGTCCGCCGAGATGGCCATGGTCATGGCAGTGGCCGTGTACGCCACCAGCGTCACCGTCAGCGTGAACACGGAGAAGGCGCACAAAGTGCACTTCAGCCCTGAACAAGTTACAAATCAAGACAAAATAAGCGCATTGCTGTCATTGGATCAGTTCTTTACCAGGCAAAAACCACTTCTGAGACGGAACATGAACTAAAGAGGGCAGAAAACGATGAGGATAAAAGTTAAATGACCATCATTTTTCTTCTTTATTTTTTACGTTATGCACAATTCTCATTTATTGTGCAATAATCTAACTGTAACATGTATTTGTTACATATTTTGATGCAATTTTATGCTTTAAAAACATTTATTATTTATTTTGGGGGGGGGGGTTGGAACGGATTAGGGCATTTAAATGGAAAACGCGTCTCGACTAACATTTTCTAGTTCAGAAATTTCTTCCAGAACCAATTAATAGTGCTGTTCATACCAATCATGAAGTATACGCCGCAGCTGAAGATAACGGAGGTGACGGTGCGGAGGGCCACGTCGGACAGCACCTTGGACAGGAAGTAGACGGACACTCTGTAGTAGCCGCTGATGTACTCGTGTCTGCGGGAACAACCAGTCGCGAGTCGCATGCGGTAAAAACGTTGGCCTTCGACGCAATTTTCGATGGAACGTAGCCGACGCCCGGCCGGCATCCGTTTTGTCACGGCTTGAAAACAGGCAATCCTGAAGCAACAACATACGCGAAGAGCTTCCGCTCGGCGATGAAGAGCTCGGCCGCCGACACTGTGCTGAAACATTGGTTGGTTGTGATGAAGAAGAGCGCCCCCATCCTGGAAGAAGAAGAAGACAGAGGTGAAAGCTGGTTTCCACTCTGTGACCCTCTCGCCTCTCCGCGGGAGTTCTCCAAGGGCACCGCTTAAGCCCCATCCACTAGTCCAGTCCAACCTTATGAAAGGTCTGGAGACTGGCTGGGTTTTAAAATGTGCTTTGCTGACCTTGTGCGTACCAGCTTGTGCCAACATTAAGAGGATTAGCGAATCCACATAGGAATTAATGCAATTCTCAATGCGTACAGTAGAGGTGGCGTATAGGATTTTTTTGGGGGGGGTTTATGAATTTCTGCCACTAGAGGGCTGTTCTTTAACCTGGAACCAGAAAAAAAAAATTAACTAATTTTACTCAATTCTCAAAGATAGAGGGCTGTTCTTTAACCTGGAACCAGAAAAAACCCCAAATCTAACTAATTTTACTCAATTCTCAAAAAAAAATGGATGACTGCTTTTGTGTTAGAGTGCTTGCATGTGTTTTTTATACTCTGTTCTGGATGCCACTCTGGTCGTCTTTGACCCTGAAGAAAATGGCTCCAACGATGAGAGCCAAGAAAATGTGCACCCCCACCTGCAGACACGGTGACGCAAATGCAGATTTTTACATGCATTCTATTTGGAGAATCATGCATGGATTTATCCCAGCTGTCTTTCAGGCAATAGGCGGGGGACACCCTGAACCGGTTGCCAGCCAATCGCAGGGCACACAAGAGACGAACAACCATCTGCGCTCACACACACCCCTGAGGACAATTTCAAGTGTTCCATTAACATGCCACGCATGTTTTTTGGAACGTGGGAGGAAACCGGAGTACCCGGAGAAAACCCACGCAGGCCCGGGGAGAACATGCAAACTCCACACAGGAGTTTATGTCTGGATTTGTGTGTAAGTATTGGTAATAAAATGTAAAAGAAAAAAAAAATGACCGAGTCACTGATGGTGTAGTGGTACACTCGCCCGATTGTGGTAGGATAGGGTCCGGCGACTCCCCGCGACCCTCTTCAAGAAACTTGGGACTTGCTTGAATCTAGGAGGTTAAACCTTGAGACCTACATAAGATTTTTTTTTTGCAATAGAAACTCTATACAGAGAGTCTGGGCGGACAGACCGCCCTCCCACAGACCACCGAGGAGGAAGACACCCCCTCCCCACCTCGGTGGGAGCGAGGGGATGTTGAAAGTTGGGGGGGAGGGAAGGATTTGACAGCAGAGAGTGAGAAAAGAGAAATAGGACACAAGTTTTAATCCCAACAATTGACACATTATGACAGAACTAAGCGGTTCCCAGGGTGAGGGGACCAGCTAATAAGCTGTAAGGCACGGGAGTGATGAACCGTGACAACGTCATGTGATGCTTTGCCCCGTAACCGTGGCCACGCTGGGCCAAGGTTTGAGTTCAAGGTGGTGATGGTGGTGGTGGTGGTGGGTGGGGGGGCTTACGCCAGATATGATATCAAGCCCAAAGGAGGCAAGAGTCGGGTCACAGCAGTCACAAAAGCCGATTATGGCGCCTGCGCCGTCCAGATCCCCGCTGGTGGGATTAAGGGGGGTCTTAACTGGGCCCAATTGGCTGTTAATAATTCTTAAAGTGAGGGGACTTCTCAAGGCTTTGAAAAGTCAGGTTGATCTGACCCAAGAGCATTCATCCACCACCAAATCATCTTTGATGCTTATGAAAACACAAATGTGTGGTACAATGAAGACTCGGAATTTTTCCATGTTTGCAAGAAAGAAAAAAAAAAAAAGAAAACGTGCATTTTTTTAAGGCTTAACAGTATACAAAATACTATATATGCCCAAGAGTTCACAAAAACCCAGTTGTTAGGTTTATTGAAAATGTATAAAACTGTTGTCGCTCCACGAATACGAAATTGTCCATGATGATTACGTAGACAATTTCGATTCTCAAACTTTGGAGTTTGTGAAAGACTCCAAATGCGTACCTGTGCCACAGATGTCTGTGGGTTCAGCAGGAGGTTCTGAAAGGTTCTGCGCAGCACCCAACGCATCTGGTGGCCAAAGGAGCTGTTATAGGTGACGGTGCGGGAGGTCGGCGGCGGCGAGTGCCGCTTGTCCAGAGCGATGCGCTGCAGCAGGGCCAGCGTGTCGCTGCAGTAGCTACTGTTCTTGTATTCCTCCACCAGGCGCTCCTCCATGCTCTGCCTGGAGCTGCTCAGCTCCTCCAAGTCCAAATCTAACCCTGGAGACAGACGTGAAGGTCACATTTGAGTTATAAAATGGATTTATTCACATATATATGGAATTGTAAACACACCGCATCACCTTCAGAAAGGCCGACTTTGGACATGCTGGTGACGGTGAAGTCTCCATGGATCACGTCCAGAAAAAAGTCGGCTGGGTTGTTGTGGGGCTCGCAGGAAAATCCTGAAAGACAAAGTCAAAGACTTAAGAATTTTTTTTTTCAACGATTAAAGGCTACTGATGTTATTTATTTCATGCAGTTGTTAAAATTCAGGTCTGAGTCCCACATTAATCAAACCGGATTATTTGGTTGTAGAAAAATAGTCTCAAGGTGACTGATGGCACATTCTTTTTGTTTCTGGCGGCCACAGACAATGATTTCAGTCTTGTTTGAGTACAGGTGGAGAAATTTGTTTGTATCCACACACTGATCTGTTGGATGCAGTGACAGGGTGAATCTGCAGGCATCAGTGATAAGTCGAGCTGGATCTCCTTTGCATAGTTGTGGGAGGACACTTTATAGCTCCGTATTAACTTGCCTAATGAAGCATGAAGAATAGCGGTTTCAGGATTGACCCCTGGGTAACGCCACAGGCCATAGCCATGACAAGACAATTTTTTCTCATTCTGTTCACTGTACTGCATTTTACTTGTATTAGGGCCAAATGGAACAACCACAAACCAGATCCAGCTGGAGCAGCACCAAGAGGCCTGGAGTGGAACAGTAAAACTTTGCGAGTCAGGGTTTTTCATTCAAATGGATCACGGCATGTTTACTATTATTGGAGCTTTGTAGAAGTCACACTTGTTAGTTAAAAAAATAACAATAGAGGGACAGGGCTCACCGATGTTTGCGAAATAGTCCAATGCGTTTGGTGCCGGTCCGTGGTACACCATCTTGCCTCCAACCAGCAAGGTTAGCGAGTCAAAGAGCCTGTAGATGGAGTAGCGAGGCTGGTGGATGGACATGATGATGGTTCTCCCTTGATTGGCCATCCTGTAGCCAAACAAGTCAGTACTAAAAATAATTTTTAAAAAATCACAGACAGAAAGTACTGCATCGTTTGAGTCGCTACCTCCTGAGCAACAGCAGGACAGAGTTAGCTGTGCTGGCGTCCAGGCCCGTGGTCGGCTCATCCAAGAAGAGCACGGGAGGGTCAATGATCAGCTCCATACCCATGTTGGTCCGCTTCTTTTCGCCTCCCGAGATGCCACGAGTCATCTGTGTGCCGACCTGCGAAGAACGTCACGGGAACATTTCTAGGACAGTCGCCCTCCTGAAACAGATTTGCTCTATAATTTCATCGTCCACCTTGCAGTCGGCCACCTTGGCGAGACCAAGTTCTGCGACGAGGTGATTGACGCGGGCCTCTTTTTCCCGCTCGGACACGTGCACGGGTAGACGCAACGCTGCTGAGAAACGGAGATTCTCCCTCACTGTTAGCGTGCCCATGACCACGTCCTCCTGGTACAGATGAAGAACTCGTGTGTAAGAGCCAAAAGGTGAGTTTGATGACTTAATACCATTTGTGTTAGGTTCTAATGTCCGCATTTGTTTGACCATTAGTGCTAGCATGTCATTTAGGCTCACATGCTAATTAATAGCATTGATGGGCCCAGTTTTAGCATGTTGTTTAGGCTAATATGTTAGCTAATATCATGGATGTGCTCAGTGACGCTCCGTCAGGGCCTTCAAGGCTATCTCTGCTGTCCCAAACCGTATCCAAAGAACATATTTAGAGCTTACATGAAATGCTAATTTATTTCCAACAGTCTTTTTATCTTCATTTCATATGGTATGTTTTTTTCTGTGTTGCTTCCATTTTCTTGTGGGTTAATTGATTTATTTTTTGGTGTTGACAAAAATACTTACGGTATGGTTGACTCACTGAAAGCTGAATTATAGATTTAGAATATATGCTTCCAAACATGCTAAATGTGATGTATGGAAAATTCTGCATTATACTGAGGAATACACCACTGGCCAGGAAACATAAGATTGAAACATTCCAAGACCTTCCCATATTAAAAAAAAACAAACAAAAAAAACATTAAATCAATGGATCTTTAATTATCTAACAATATTATTGATCATTTTGATCAATCACAGACATTTGTTTTGTAAATAATAATTTGACATAAAAAGGTACCTGGACCACGTAGCCTGACAGACATTTGAAGTTGGGTGGTTGCGGTGCTCCGTCAATTAAAACTTCACCCGAGAGGCCGGAGGGATCCTTCCTTGCAGCGAGAATATCCAAAAAACTTTGCAGAACGACATAAAAAATAAGAGTAATAATAATAAAAAAAATTAAAAAATCAAACATTCATGGCAGCAGACACCTATTTTTTTAAATTCCAGAACTCGGGTTCACTCACGATGACTTCCCGCTTCCAGTCGGCCCGAGGATTGCGTTCAGGCCAGGCCTCATGATACCACTATAGCACAAAACAAAGCAATGTAAATATTGATCTTGGCATACACCGTATTGTGTATGGATCCACGATTGATTCAAACTCTGTGACATTTATTTTTCAAATAATTGGATCATTCAAAAAAATTTAAAATCCACCAAATTTTGCAGTATATAGTCAATTAATACAAAAACATGAATACGTGACAAAATTCAGACGGGTTTCCACATGGCTGTTGGTCCAAAAAGTAGGATTAATCTGCCATCATGGAAGTCTGCTGAGAGGGCAGAATTTTTGACACAGTTCTTGTATTAGTGGCCAAAGAGTTCAAGTGAAAGAGCAAGCGCAAGCCATATGCGCGCACACGCACACACACACACACACACACGCACACACGCACACACGCACACGCACACGCACACACACAAACACACACACACACACACACACACTATGTGCAGCCTAATAAAATGGAATTAAAAGATTGACCACAAGCCTGGCCATGGGTCACGTGACGCCATTTTTAATGCGTTCTCTTGGCAGACGGCGACTATACTGAGAGATTATAAGCAAGAAACCATGCCTAATATCATATGATTAACGCAAGGAATAATTCACTCTTCATGGGAAAGACTTCAAACACACACACGCACGGACACACACACAGATACGTGCGCACGCATGCGCACACGCATCAGAAAGAGGGTAATGTAAAGGGGGCCCGGTTCACAATCGAGCAAGGTTTGGTTTGTGAAGTCAAAACGGACAAGAGCTAAATGACTTATTTGTTGAGCACTAATTATCGACGATGGTCAAGTTGTGTTGTGATTGCTGGAAATTAGGAGGTAGTACGACAAATATTAAGGTGGTTTAAAAAAAATGCAGCCTTCATACATGAAAAGGGACATCTAAAAAAAAACTTGATGTCCATCAGATCTCACAAAGAAGTGAGCCAAGAAAGTTGGATTATGATTAACAGTGGCGTTGAATTCTAAATTATGCAGGTTAAAAATAAACAAATAAATAAATTAACAATTTTAAAAGGACAGCTCAGCTGTAAATACGCTTTCCTAAAAACAAAACAAACAAACAAAAAAACCTCCCAGGGTTGGAAAAAATTAAGAGAATTTTTGGGACTAACTATAGACCAAATTATTGGGATTAATAGAGTTAAGAGGTATTAAATTAATGGGATTCATTTAGACAAAAAAAAAAGGGAGTTTACATATTTAATGTTTATCATTGCGAGTTTACAAAATTATCGGGATTCATTCAGTTAAAAGGTGTGAAATCCTTTTTCATGTACAAAAGGACAGAAAGCCACGCACGCCCAAACGTTCACAAAAATGCAGTTAAGGAAAGGATTTGGGGGCTTTTTTTTTGGTGACAATTTCCTAAATAATCAGAATTAATGATGTTAGGTGGTAGCAAACTTTATTTTATTCTGGTCCAAAAGGACAGACATTCACAAAAACACACCCAGCAAGGAACTAAATTTTTTTGGGGGTGACGGAGGGGATACAAAAAGGCTCCAAATCAGCACACGCAAAAATAGAGCAAAGAGGGAAATAAAAGAATTATTTTTTTTTAATTGACAATTTACCAAATTATCGGGATTTAGGCGGCATGAAATTCTATTATAATACCGTACAAAGCTACAAAAAAGTGGCAAAATTAACATACAAAGCCACCAAATCTCTCTCTCACTCTCTCACACACACACACACACACACACACACACACACACACCCACACACACACACACACACACGCGAGTGATAAAAAAA